AAATTAGAAATGAATATAAAAGAAAATTACATTAAAAAAAAGTGACAATTTCTTTTAAAAAGTTTTGACATAAACTATGGAGGAAAGAAAATATCTTCGACTGGGCCGGGCCCAGTACATAGACAGATCAAAGCCCATTCACTTTGAATATTATTGAGCCCACAATTTCACTTCCCAAAGCCCACAATCTATTCTCGAAAAAATCTCTCTTTCATGGAGTTTCGTTAGAATAGCGGTAAATTTGGCACATTTTAAATCAATAATTACAAAAATAGTAACTAAGAGAATGATTATAAATATACCGAAAATTAAAATACAAATCGATATGTAGATTATTCGATAATTTATCATGACTACAGCGAACATGGGTATAGCCTAATTATTTAAGGTACTTATTTCTTATTAATAGATCATGAATTCAAATCTACACTACCACATGTTGTATTAATAAAAATTTACGTTAAATAATGATTACTGTATTAAACAAAAATGTACACTAATTATTATTGTGTAAGTTAATTAATGAAATCAAATGTCTATCTCAACTAATTAAGATATATATATATATATATATATATATATATATAATATATATATTATTGTTTAAAATATGAAAAAAAAAATTAAATGCACTGCGACTTTCTTTGTTAGTAATTATTTTTGTTTTTCCTTTGAAAAAAAATGTCTCTTTTGTTTTTATTTTTTATTTTTGGTGTTAAACTGCACTTTTACTGTTTTGGCATTCAATTAGTAACTTTTTTGCCAATAAAATTTTCCAACGTGCTATTGTCTCCCTTCATGGTGTCCTCTTTAGCTATAAAGATCAAAAGTAATTAATTCCTAATTCTTACCTCTTTCCTTTTTGAGCAAATGAAATGCTTCCTCATTTTTTATTTATTTCAAGATTAATATTAAAAATTATGTGTTATTTCATTGTTTTTATAAAGATTAGATGTTCTTTTTTTTACATTCCACCGACAATAAATGTGAATCTTACAACTGTTGTCTTCCTTTGCAAGTACAACAAATAGAGGTATGGATGGAAATTTGAACCTCCAATTTCAAAGAAAATGGTAGGATTACTGTTTAGCTATGCTTATGTTGACAAATTTTAGAAATGTTGATCAAATCTTCAATCAAGTCAAACTCTAAATTGAGGAAATCAATTATTTTTCTCGTCAAGGTAAATTGAACATTTTTAAACAAATATGAAATTTCAATTAACTTAGTCATTGGACTATCGATTCAAGCACAAATAGGTCTTACGTGGCTCAAACAAAGTTAATTCCCTTTACGTGTATACATATAGAGAAATAAGCCTTAACTAACTAAGAGATGTAAATATGGATGGAAAAAAATCATCTAGTTCTACCGTAGAAATAAGTAGAAAATAACTAAGAAATTTAAAAAAAATAATAAAGAAACACAAGAATTAACATAAAAAAGTCTAAATCAGAGAAAAACCACGGCCCACAAGAAAAAATCCACCATCTGATAAATTATTACAATCACATAGATTTCTCTCCTCGATCCCAATTACATAAAACACTCTCTCGAAGCAAATACCGCTCAGTTAACTAAAGCTGGGTATACCATTGGGATGATTATAACTCAAGACCATGAGCTCCTTTCATAGCACTTGGAGCACACTCCCTCTTCCTTGTATCTTTTCGATGTGGGACAAACTTCAATTCTAATATTTTGTCAGAATCCAACAAATATAAGTACGTTACTATCCATCCCAATTTCCAACCACTTCATTTTCATCTATCTATAGTGTCCTAGCTAGACCCAAATGTCAATCTCCATGTCATGTTCCTAAGTAGTATGCTTTCAATTGGTTAGCTAGTTGACTCCGTTTCTACCTCAACAAACACGAAATACTACTTGTATGTAGCCTTAAAACTTTTCCATAAAAGTTCGTTTTAAAACATTCAGAACAATTGACATACAACCGATATGCAACAACTCTCGAACCCGATACTCAAAAAAAAATCATTACTAATCAACCATCTCAAATCCTATTGCATAATAATAACAAAAAATTAGATGGTTGGAGTTAGTTTTGTCCAAACAAATAGAAATATCTCCCACACCAACATATATATAGTGACAATCCCATGGGATAGGGATGCAAAGGAAGTGATTGAGCTTCTCAAGTAAACTTGCAAGTACCCTTTGACAATGAAAGAGATTTAGAAAAAATAAATAATAAAGATACAAAAGATTGGGACTTTGGGGACAACTTGTTTTGTCCTCTYGGCCCTCTAAAAGCCATTCTAATCCTCTAGCAACTTGCATGACCCTACAATCCCTTTTGTCTTTTCCCCCACATCCAATTTAAATTCACCTTTTTTTTTCTCTCATCCTAATTCTTTAATCCATTATCCATTTATATCTTTCTCGTAAATATATGTGATAAATATAGTCTCAACATCGACTAGAATTGGAGAAGATCTATGATATACGAGATTAATCAATTTGAAATCTTTTGATTAAAAGTACGTACACCCAAAATTTAGGTTTAAAATGGACAATATCTCACCTTCCCAAAGATGCAAACTTCAATGGATAGTGATTCTAGCTTTTAGTCCTTTGTTTTTTTAGTTGATGTTATTTGTAAATGATTATTTTCTGCCTTTTAGAAATAATTTGGAAATATTGGTTTTATTTTAAAAACAAGAAATGGGTTGTGTTTTGAATAATATTTTTTCCAGTAGTTTTAATATTTGGGTATGATTGTCCGAGTATGGTGTCGGGATAATAAAGCTAAAATAGGAAATTAATGTCCGAAAAGAATTTTTCAATACTACTACAAATTCGTATAAGGATTCCTATAAATAGAGTCCTTTTTTTAAGGTTTTATTAGTTGATAATCCAAGTAAAAGAAAATTGAGTGGTTATGGACAATGTGTAAAAAGGGTATGTATCTCATGTGTTTAATGAGCGTTTTTCATTCCTGTACCTACATATAGTTTGTTATATACTTAGAAGTTAGAGGGTTTTTGTTGGGACCTATAGAGGGTGAATATCTGGAGAGATATTTGAGTAGTGAAACCTGCATCTGAGCGAAAGACTGGATATAGCTCATAAACTGTTGGGGTGAACGAGTATACATTCTTGTATCGTTTATTGTTTTTCCTTTAAGCTCTTATTTGTGTTGTGTGATTATGATTTACTGGATATAATTGTGGAAAGGGAAATTGTTTTGGAGCATCTAATTTTCCAACACATAACTCGACGATAATTGACATATATCTACAACCAAAAGGTTGTGGGTATGATTTTAGAAGTGTTATTAGATTACGAAACATCGTTATTTAAAAATAGAAGATTATAAACAAGTTCTTTATTATAACGTTCCAAATAATGTCCAAATCTAACTTTATGATTAAGAAGCATTTCATGTTGAGATGTTTATTGTTAATTAATTAGACTTGACAAATATGTTTTCCTTTTTTTCTTAGAAAATTAGTTGCAATTTCAATTCTTTTGAAAAGATAACTAAAGAAACCAACCGACTTTACCAATAAAATCTATAACTTATAAGATATAAATTTTAGTATTTATGTTACTCCAATTCTTACCATTGTTGAAATAAATTTCATTTCATTTTTAAGATTATAATGGTGAATTTGTGCATAGTTTAATTAGTTAAGGTGTTATAAACTTCGACCACTTGAACATAATCTATATTAACTAATTGGTTAAGATAATTATATCTTCTTGAAAGCTAAAAGTTCGATCCCTCATTCATACACATTTAATTTGTTGAACTAAAAAGAAAATACATTATAAAACTCTTCTAAAGGTTATAGATCCAAATTTCACATAATTTTAATGAGATCGAACTTTAAGAAAGATAATAAGACTGTCTTATCCACTGAACTATGTTCGGATTGACTCTTTAAGATGTATCAAAATATATATAAATTCTAAATATTTTTCTGCTGAACTTTAAAATAATAAAAAATAGGCTTTTCTTGCAATATAAACATGAATGGAACATATTGGACTCTACTTTCAAATCATCATAACTCTATGGGGATCCAAGATATGATCAAGAAGACTTGATATTTGTGAAAGATTGCAATCTTAGAAAAAGTGAAAAATAAATTATAAATAAATAAAGTTTCTTCACTTTTGAAAATGTACAATGTGGTTGAAATTTCATGTCAACTTGAATTTTAACTTTTGATAGTGTGACAAGATAAGAGAAATTATGACCAATCCAACCGAAACAAGAGATGCAACTAATTATTCAACTGTACTTTCATCACCCATTCTTATTAAATATTTGTGTTTCGTTCTTAAGAGATATAACACGGTACTAATTAAGTTATCTGAAATTTACGAATGAAAGCTTAGTTCGCTTTGATCACTGTACTTTTAAAATCTGACCATTTTGATTCCAACTTACAAAATTTTAACACAAATTCTATGTCGATATTTCAAGATTTATATTAAGTATAATGTCAAGTTAAAATTGTGATTGAAAAAAATGAGATAAAAAATAAAATGAGTGAACCAAAACGATCACTTTTTAAAAGTACAAGGACTAAAACGAACATTTCAAAAGTACGAGAATTAAAATGGATAAAAGTTTGGAAAATAGGATCAAAAATCTAATTTTTATTTTTAAAAAACTCAGGGCACGTTTTGGAAATAATAAAAATGTGAGGGATTAGGGGTGAAATGAGAGGAAAATGGTGGAAGTTGGTGGGGCCCAAAGAAGGAAAGAGTGTGGAAAATGCAACAAAATAAAACAAAAAGAAACTCAAAAATATTTTATTAGATATATATTTTTTTTAAGAAAATTGTTATTGTTAATGGTCAAGGGCGGTGTGCCACGGGCGTTGGCTTTCAACTCAAACCACTTCACAAGTTTGACTCTTTCTCATCCCCATTTCCCTTTACTTTCCTTTTTCTTTTATCAAAAAAATATATAAATCTAACTTTTTACCTATCCGAACTCGTATCAAATACTTCACCAACTCAAATATTGGCTTAGCTTAATGACGTGGGTGCTGGAGTTGATTTCTAGCCTCACACCTGGCATATCTCGATTTTGGAGGATAAAGATACACGTGGTAAGGTCGTTTGCTTGCTTTAGTATTAAACTTTGATATCGAGCCGACGCCCTCTAAGGCCGAGTCGATCAAGATTCTCTTGGTTCTGCTCCCATTCTTTGATCGAACCGACCTAAACCTACTCGATCCAGCCTTATATTTCGACATACTCAACGACAGCACGCCGCGATCCACGGCAACCTTGCCTTGGGATGATAAGGTCGTCTGCTTGCCTTGGTATTAAACCTTGATACTGAGCTGACGCCCTTTAGGATCGAGCTGATCAAGATTCTCTTGGTTTTGTTCCCATTCTTTGATCGAACTGACCTGGACCTACTCGACTCGGTCTAATTCCGACAGACTCCACGACAGCACGTCGCAATTCACGGCAACCTTAAAGAGTCGTTAAGGTCCTATTGAAAACCTTGTCGGAGACCCTGCCTATATACAAAAGTCATTTGCTCCAATTTCAAGTACGTGAATACAATATTCCTCTGTAGATATTGCTCGAGTTCTTCTTAACTTGGATGTCGGAGTGTTTTCTGTCTTGCAGGTCTCCTGTTCGGTTCTCTCCAACTCGTCCTCCAGGTCATCTTTCGGTTCGAGCCGAGGTTCGCAGGCTTGGTCATTTTTGTGATCAAACAGCTGGTATCTTCGACCAAAATGTCTAAGGTTCGAATCTCCACCCTCACAAATTCTTGAAAGAAAAAATTATGCTGCAGATGCACACATTTATTCATTGGACTTCTTATTCTATCGATGGATTCTATCGTTAATTCTTTTCATTCTTTTACCAGCCAACTAACTTTGAATGTTCAACTACTTTGATCAACAATTGTCAATTGAACTTCGATTTAGACATTTTAGTTCTTTTGCAAGAAATGTTTTTTATTCAACGTGTGGACAAGAATTTCAACCTCCAAATTTTAGGTAAAAAAATATATGTCTTAATCAGTTGAGTTATATTCAACTACTTTTACCTATTCGAACTCGTAGCGTTTCACCGATCTAAAACCTAAATATAACTCAACTGAATAACTTACGTATCCTTTCTCCACTATCACAAGTAGTTGAACTCTATATATATGCAAGTGTTTTTTTAATTCAAGTAGACGATGATTTAAACCTCCATTTTTTTTTAGAGATATGCTCGAAGTTGACAGTTTTTCGATAAATTTCAACATCAACATTATTAATTACAATATTCTTTCTTTTTCTCTCACCAAATACCCCTTTTAAAAATAACTAAAATGTTTGTGGTATTCATTGCTACCTGAAATATTAACATAGAGAGAGAGAGGCATTGACTTCTTATACATTAAATTTATTTAGGAGAAATATATAATAAATTTGATATTGTAATTGAGAGTTTTTTTTTAATAATAAATAAGGCCTTCCCCACCTGAAAACAGAAATGGGTAAAATATTAAACCAAAGTTTCATATTTGTACATAGTCAACTCATCCCTCATCAAAACTTTATAGAATGTGACATTTTTCTATTTTATTTTTTTAAAACAATAATTCACTCTCATTGTTTTCATTTTTTTAATAACAAGTTGCCAATTAATTCATGGTTTTCAGCAGTAATCTGAATCTTTTAATTTTTATAATAGGTGTAAAATATCAATATAATTTTAAAATTGGATTCTCCATATCTACAAGCAATGGGTAGGAATTATATATAGGATGAGCTATAAGAGTGACAAAAACATCGACATGCTTTTCGAAATTTTAACACGAATGTGTCTCACGATATATAAATAATGCCGTGATGAGATTTACCCATTTAGTTTTCAAAACTACTACATGAGAAGAGTCAAATAATTTATGATTCATAATCTACAATATACTCAAACTTATATAGTTGAATCAAATACAAGTCTAATGTTTCATTTTTGTTGTAAGTGGAATCAGAGCCTGTCACGTAGTCCTCCCACTCGAAAACATGTGTTAGTGACATGACTCAAATAAGTTGAGGACGAGACGAGTCAGGTGAAGTCACCTTTGATCGATCCTGCGAAAGCTCAGCTCAACTCTGACTTGAAACCACATATGACATCAACATGAAACATCGAAACGGCAGAACAGTTATGAAAGATGAAGTTCGTTTCGAAGCTCGCCTTGACATCAGTTCGAATTAAGTGCTAACCTAAGTTTTTTTATTTGCAGGCCATCAAATCGACTTAATTTAACATTCACCTCAAATCAGTAGCTGATCCTTCGTGTCTTTCGCAATCCTATATAACAATTTCAGTTATAAGTTATTTAAAATACTTCGTACAAATTTCATAAACCTTTAATAATGAAGTACAATGGAGGATGCTTTCTCAAGCTTATCCATAATAATTTTTTTAATAAACCGAAAGAAAAAAGAAAACATTGTATTTTGTCTTGTAGTGAATTGGAATATGCAAAGATATGGTTCCTTGAATCGCAAATTCAGGAGATCAGAGAGAACCTGACCATTGAAATTATCCAATTCCAATACAAAAATTAGGGATTTTTCACCTTAATGTAATATAATAATGTCTTATTATTCCCTATTTTATGTTTTGTTTAATTTGTTTGGTTTTGTAGGCTTAAATTGATTATTTAATAAAATATGATATATGGCCATTTCTCACGGATTTATTAGATTAATAAAGTCTATATAAAAAATCATTATTGGTGGTTCATTGATCAAGTTTTATAGACATTTCTTGAAGAATAATAATATTAAAAAAATCTTATCTATTAATATTATATTTATATTAGTGATATTTTGTTGATATATTTTGTAGATTTTTTACGATACAGTAGAAATGTCGATTCACTTCTTCTATACCGATGCTAAACCTATTGGACACATAAAAATGTCAATATATCGATGAAAATTGAATACTCTAGTCTCATTTGATGAAGTAGAACCCATACGAATTTGAACTATTATTAAATGAATAATAAAAAGTTTTAATAAAAAAAGACAAAGCCTTGGAACAAAATGAGAACATTTGAAAATTGAGATCATAATATAAAATTCGAAAGTTTAGAGATTAAAATAAAATAAATTTAAAAGTTAAGGACCAAAGAATATGAAATAAATTTAATTTTATACATTTTATAATCTATTAATAATGTTACATATATAAAAAATAAATTTATATATTGACAATAATTTTTTTGTATATTTATAGATTTTTTTATTTTATATGGTTCATAAATATAAATGAAATACCCACGATTTCATTTTTTTTAGTACAACATCCAAAGGTGGAGATTCAAAAATACGATAAAAAAACGTCGGAGATAGGTGTCTTAACTAGTTAAGTTATGCTCAGATTGGCCACAATCTTGATCTTAATAGACTTGTATATAGAAAATTTTGTAAATAAAATTACATGCTAATTATAAAAAAGATATGCCTATATTGTGAAATACGCTTCTATATGATAAAGCTATATGTTCCATCCAAATACTTATGTTAAATAATATTGTATCACAATTTAAAATATAAAATTTTGGTTAAACACAAATTTATTTATTTTTTTAACAAAAATACAAATATATTAATGCCCTTCAAAAAAGATTATACATTAATGAATCAAATTAAAGCTTATTATGAGATGTATAAGAACTTATTCTTGGAAATCATGGTGTGTAGAGAATTGGATTCCTCTCCCAACACCACATAGAATTTCATCCAATAATGTGATAATAGTGAATTATTAGATTCAAATCACATTAAAAAGTGGAGAAAAAACTACTAATTTATTGTATTTTAATTTGCCATAGGGTTGAGCACTAATAACAATAGTCTTCAAAATATTCATTGATCCACTTGAAAATTAATGGGTATAAGAAAAAAAATACTATTTTCATCCTGTCAATTCGGTTTATTTTGGTCCCTCAACTTTTAAGATATTCATTTTTTTCATTTTAGTCCATCTACTTTTAAAAAAAAAAATTATTATTCTAATCTTTGTTAGCAAAATTTTAACATAAATTATATACACCAACGAAAACACTTTAATATAAGTTATGCACACATTTCAAAGAATATTATATCTAGAATAGTGTCCTACATTATGAAATTGCATGATAGAAAAAAATTGAGATAAAATGAAATGAATTGACCAAAACGATTACTATTTAAAAGTATATGATCAAATGAACGTTTATAAAGTACAGGGATTAAAATAGACAACCATTGAAATTATATAGACTAAAATCAACATTTTAAAATACAAGGACAAAAATAAACCAATGCTAAAAATATAGGAACCAAAATAGTATTTTAATCCGAATTAAATTATGCACCAAGGATACTAAATACTGTTTAGAAAAATACTCATCTTTTTTACTCGTCTACCTAATAAATTTTATGTCAACTAAAAGTTATTCAGCACTCATAAGAAAAACGAGCGTTGATCGATAACCACTTAAGTATTATTATTTCTTCTGACATTTTTTACATGGATAAAATAAACAAAATCAAAACATGACAAGATATTTGCCCAAACTTTATATAAATTTGCCCAAGTCTTAGCCTACAACATATGTTATGCATTTAGTCCAATTAGGTAGCCCAATTAAAGTTGTCATTTTTTAAAATCATGTATATATATGAATTGATGGTCAAGATTTTGAATTTTAGTGTAATTTGGCTATATATTGGTTCAACAATTTCTTATATTCGAGTTAACCTCGTCATATAGTTCATAATGTATAATAAAATGTTAAAATAATAAAATAAAGCTTGATAGAGAAATTGTTGTGCAAAGGCTGGGGCAATAAAATAATATGGTAATGACCATTAATTTAAAAGGATGACAAAACGGGGGTTTAAAATAATGCATTTAAATCAAAATAATTCCTATTTAAAAATAATAATGATAACAGGAAATTACGATTAAACCAAAGAAATGGAAGACCTTGAAAACGAAAGGCAAAAATATAAAGCGAATGAAGGCGTGGGTTCCTTGAACCCAAACGCATCCGTCTCCGCTTCGGCTTCGGACCCTGCTTCGGAGCTAGCTTCGGACCCTGCTTCGGATTTGGACCTTGTGCGGATAAGAACGACCCCTCTCTCTCCTCTGTTTCTCTCTCTAACGCCATCTACCACTCTCTACAAGAACCCATTCCCTCCCTCACCGCCTCCACTCTTCTCAAACATTATAATCTCTCTCTCTCTCTCCTCTCTAATTCGTAACTGTTCTGAATTTTCCTCACGAATTTCCAAACTGGCGATCGAAAATCACGACTCCACCGTCCGTGAAATCAAGCCCAAGAGCAGGAGAATCATGGTATAACGATTTTTCTCATTTCGATTTCATTTCAATTTCCCCGCATTCTGTTTTTTTCTCATCTGGGTTTTGAATTTCTTCCGATTTTCGATTGATTTCCTCGATTGTTCTTCGCATTTTATAGTGGGTTTTGTTTTGTTTTGTTTTGTTAGGGCGCTGGAGGTCCCGATGATGAAGACAATCGATGGCCGCCATGGCTGAAACCCCTCCTCCGAGAGAGTTTCTTCGTTCAATGTAAGCTCCACATCGATTCCCACAAAAGCGAATGCAATATGTATTGCTTGGATTGTATGAACGGCGCTCTCTGTTCTCTCTGCCTCGCCTATCACAAGGACCATCGCGCCATTCAGGTCTCAGATTGCTCAATCTTTGGTTTGATTTTTGATTTTTGATTTTTCTCATCTGGGTTTCAATTGATTTCTGTTTCTCTATTTGGGTTTTTGGTTACAGATTCGGAGGTCTTCGTACCATGATGTGATCAGAGTATCGGAGATACAGAAGGTTTTGGACATTTCTGGAGTTCAAACTTACATTATCAACAGCGCTAGAGTTGTGTTCTTGAACGAGCGCCCTCAGCCGCGGCCGGGGAAGGGCGTGACCAACACGTGCGAGGTTTGCGAGCGCAGCCTTCTCGATTCCTTCCGCTTCTGCTCTCTCGGTTGTAAGGTATTGTCCTCTTTTTGTTTTCTTTGGTTTACTCTGTTTCCTTGCCTGGAAAATTGCCGGGAAAATTGATGGGAAAATGAAGGGAACCCCCAAATTGAAATTTGAGCTGCCAATGTATCTGGTTTTAGTTTGGTTGAATTCTATCGAGTGGAGTGGAGTGGACTCTTAGTTGCACTCGCTTTTCTGTGGAATTTGAATTTTCTTGGTTAATTTTCTCTGTTTTTGCTCTGTTTGGCTGCCGGGAAAATCGATGGGAAAATTGATGGAAACCCCAAATTGGAATTTGGGTCATCAATGTGTTTGGTATTAGTTGAGTTCAATCGAGTGGAGTGGACTTTTTCATCCACTCGCTTTTTTTTTTTTCTTTTTTTTTGTGGAATTTAAATATTCTTCCTAAACTTTCCCTGACTTTGCTCTGTTTGGTTGCCTGGAAAATGAAGGAAACCCAAATAGGAAATTGTGTAATCAATGTGGTTTGGTTGGAATTCAAACGAGTGGAGTGGACTTTTCGTTCCACTTTCTTTTCTGTACATTGGTGTTCGTTTTTCCCATTAATTGTCTTTGAATTTTCTTTTTCCTGCTGAACTTTCCCGGAAACCAAACAAGTCATAAAGGTTGAAAAAAAAAAAGAAAGTCCGATCCCTGCCCCCGGGTTCCCATTTGTCGGTCGTTAACCGTTTTCATTTTTCCCAACTGTAAACTGACTTTTTTGATTGGTTCGTTTCGATTCGATTCACAGATCGTCGGAACATCGAGGGGTTTCCCAAAGAAGCGGGTGGCGGCGGTGGCAGCAATGGCAGCATCTGACTCAGAGGGTTCTTACAGCAGTAGCAACCACAGGCGGAGCAACAGCAACAACAACAGTAATAGCAACAAGGTTCATAGTTTTAGTCCTTCGACGCCGCCTCCAACATCGGTAAATTACCGGACGGCCAAACGGAGAAAGGGGATTCCCCATCGAGCCCCAATGGGAGGACTAGTTATAGAATATTAGCCACTACTTTTTCTCTTAATTATCCTACGACCCGTAAAATGTAATGTAATTTTTATGCTGCTCTTTTCTCCAACGCTCCGAGCTTTGTAAGAAAGGCCGGTGTTGGAAGACTTACTTTTAGCTTTGTACATAGAAGCATAGAAGTGGAGGAAAGAAGAAAAAAAAATAAGGCCAAAATGAAAGGTGGTGAACCTTAGAGGACTAAAAGTAAAAATAAGTTTGTTAGGTTTGATAATTATATAAATAGGTTGGGGCTTATAGTGAATTATACTAAGTTTTGGATCGAAGTTGTAAATAGTGGGTGGGGTTCCTTTTTATGGTTTTTAGAAGTGGTGATGAAGTTACAATGTAATCCTTGGAATAATGGAATGGGAAAATGATGTGAATATGTGAAATGAAAATGAAAATGAAAATGAAAATATTACATTATTGTATGTTATATTTGATTGAAATCTCGATTAAAATGCATTTTTGATTATTGAATTTGAAGATAGGTTTTTATCTACGGTCAAGTTTAAAAAATGAATTGTTGTCCTTAATCTTCAAGAAATGATTCTTAAAACATTCATCGAGTCAAACTGTCGTTTTTGTAACTTGTTGAATTGAGATATTTGCTTACATGGTTCATCGTCGACGATGGTCATCTAGTTGTAGGTTTTCCCTAGCTTAAGTGATAATGGTCCCCTAGCTTTGATGGTCACGCGTAGTCTTCATTTGAAGTTCTCAATCTTTTCGTTTATTCTTTTATTTTTTTTTCAACTTAAATATTGCATCATTTAAAGTTAACACATAGAAAATGTCACTTAATCTCTCAAACTCCAATCATTTCTTAAAGGTTGGAGACTAAACCAACAATTTACAATTTTTGGAATATAGAGACGAAATATAAATTTATCCTCAAACTCAAAGACCAGAGAGATATTTTACTCTTTTTTCATTTGATATTAAAATTGATATTTTTATTTTAGCACACAAGTTCATGTTACTAGGTTTATTCTATTTTGTTCCTATTCTTAACATTAAAAATTAGTGTTCCTAAATTTTCAAAATGTCTATTTTAGCCCTTGAATTTTTTAGAAAATAATCATTTTGGTTCTTACTTATTATAGGTTTAACGCTAATGCCCAAAATGATTATTTCTTATAAAATATCAATAACTAAAATCTACATTTGGAAAGTTCAATAACTAAAATAGTTATTTTTCTTTTAAATTTCGCAACTAAAAGATACATTTTAAAGGTTAAAAGATTTAAATAAACTTAAAAATTTATAGATCAAAATAAAACTTAAATTAGTCCATTTTTAAAATAGAAAATCCAATCAAGACATTGTCAAGAAATTATTTCCTAAAACATAGATAAAATGTCCAGACGTACTAGCAAAGGTGAAAATTTATGAACAAAAACGAAACTTGATAAGTCAGATCATGTCACCCCATCTAAATTTACATTCCATTACCCCTTATGCCATATCAATAATTATTTATTTATTTTTTTCTTTTATGAAAAAGGTTGAATATCTTTGGCGAAGAAAAAAAAGGGTTGAATATTATTTCCGTTTCTGGAAGCTTTTGACTGCGGACATACAAAGTGGGGGAGAGGGGTGGGGCCCCGGCGGCGGGTGCGGGAGTGGAGGAAAATGTCAGGCTGGATACGTGTCGAACTCTCATTGGTCTGTGACATAGCTTCTCTGCCCAGCGTGGGAAACGGGAATCGGGAGAATGGGGTTCTCAACTTCTCACTTTCTGTGGGTCCCACTGTGTTTCCCACGTGGGACCCCCCAACTTACATTCGTGTTCATGCTTCCTTCCATTTTCCTTTTTCTTTTAATTAATTATATAACTTTTTCTTCTTGCAACTTGCAATTGTCCTTTTCCGTTTTCATCTCATTTTGATCTAACTTTCAGATTTTTTTTTTCTTTTGTTAAATTACAAGTTTACACAGTAAATTTTTATATTTTTGTCTAATAGGTATCTAAAATATAAAATTATTCAACATATTTTTTTAGTACGACATGACAGGGATCAAATTCATAATCACTTAGTTTGAGATATATATTAATTATCGTTGAGTTAGGGTTGCTTTGACAAATTATTAAATGGTATTTTTAATAAGTTACGAGATTGAAAATTTTAAGGACATATTTGATCATTTTACCTATTATATATAAAATTGAAACATTCAATGATGTATTTGATACTTTTTAAAGTTTATAGACTTATTAAACGCATGCCTACGAATTTAGGGACTAAACTTTGAATTTACTCCCTAAATTTTGAAGGTTAAATCATACCACTACTCGTGAAGTTTAGGTTGGTTTCAATAGTACCTCTAAAGTTTCATAAGTTTCATTTTTGTAACCTTAAACTTTACAATTGTTTCAAAACTACTTTTTCTGACGTGACAATCACTTATAAAATAGAGGTACATGTGGTATAGATGGTAAGTTTGAATTATGACCCTGAACTTTATGACATGTTTTAATTATGTCCTTATTTTTTCAAAAGTTTTATTTAACCATTGATCTATGAAGTTGTTTCAGAACAAAGCTTATTAGCTTCTCTGTTAAAATGAAGACAAAAATACAATGTGACGATTATTAGTTGAAGAATAAAATGTATTTTGATGGTGAGTTGTAAAAAGAGTTGAAGGGTTCTGGTCACATTTAGAATTCTTTCGATTAATGGGGAAAACGGATTTAGGAGAGTTGAAATGATGAAGGGAGCCATATATTTTGAGAAAAGTCATGCATTGATAAAATAAAAATCTTTGACTCAAATACCGAAAGAGTTGAAGGATGTAGGAGTCAGAGACGAAGTTCATAGTTCATGAGAGGAATATATTTACAAGAGAAAAATTGTGTAAAAGTGGGGTCGACTGAAAACGAGGGTCTAGGGAAGTTAAGAGAACAGAAAATTAATAATAAAAAAGATTGACTGATGAAGGAAAACAATTTCTATACTCAAATAAAAAAAATAAATCTTCCAAAGAAACAATGGTCTCAGATTTCTTTGTTCGTTTTTTCTCTTTTCCAATATTCATGTCCAAACATTAATTTTCGTCAACTAATCGTGAGATAGATGCCCCAGAGTTTGTACGTCCTTCGTGGTCTACTTACCCTCTCAAAATTGTTGCTTCCCCCAATATTTTGGTTGTAAGAGAAGGAAACAAAATTTTACCATAATCCCCAAATTTATTCCTTGTCCCCCAAATTATATAACATCGTTATCGTTTCGAATGTGACTGAGGCTCTATGATTTTTTTCTACAACTTACCACAATGTCATATTTCCATCTTGAAGTTTGTGTGCATAAATGAAATCTAGAACCTTTGCCACACGCACCATTATTTTACAAATCACCATTATTTTACAAATCACCATTAAGTCACTTTTTTGTCTTTATTTTAGCGGAAAAGTTGATGGAAGGACAATTTTGAAACAAGTTTAATGTTCAAGGGTAAAAATGGAAATTTTGAAAGTGTAGGGATATTAATATTGAAACCTACCATAAAGTTCATGAGCATTTTTATATAATTTAATCACTTTTAAAATGTTTATTTTGGACTTTGAATTTTTAAAAAATATCAAATTACAAATTTTAGTGCTTAAATTCATAATAGTTGTGTCTAATAAAATCTTAGACTTTAAAAAGGTCTAATAATAGATATTCAAACTTCTGCAAAATTGAGGGTCTAAAAGTACTTATATTATTTTGGTTCATAAATTAAAATAAACTTTTGAAAGTTTAGACACCAAAAATAAAATACATCAAAAAAGTAATCAAAATGAGATTTAAACTTTAAAAAAAAAAAATTGTATACATAATTTAAATTTTATTTTGATCTCTAATTTTCTTTTTTATTATTCTATTTTAGTCTTTAACTTTATACTAAAATTTACTTGAGTCATTGTTATTAATTTTTCTATAAACCATTTAACATAAATCTAACAAGTACATATGTTTTTTTTTTTCATTTACTTGACGAGTTATATATATATATATAGACAAACAAATTAAATAGCTCAAGTCCAAATAGATTTAGATTTTGTTACCATCAGAATGTAAAAAGTAGACAAAATCTTTTTAAAGTCATAAATGAAATAGATATAAAAAAATTTAAGAATCAAGATAGGGATTTGATGCATTTTCCTATTTACTTCAATTTCTTACCTCGTTTATCAAATTCACCTTTAAGATAGGATCCCTTTTTTTTTAATTTTTGAAAATTTAAAATATAAATTATTTAACTCAACATTAAGGAGAATTTTTTTTAGGATGAATTTCGAACTCACACCCTCTTGATTGGAAATAGGTGTCAATTACTACTTAATTAGGTTGGCTTCGACACATTAAGAAAAATCTTTAGACTCGAAGAAAAACAACGAGATAAGAATGATATAAAATAGCTCTTAAAATCTAAAAAGTTGTTGATTTTAATTTTAAACTAACTAATTAAAATTTATACAAGAATTGAAATCTTTAGGGGTGTTCAAGGAACCCGACAACCCAAACACAAACACATTTTTCACGTCACTTTTTTTTCCTTGATAGCATTTCTTGTTTTTTTTTCTCATTTCTCATTTCATATTTCTTGTTTTTTGGTTGAGAATAATTAAAAAAAATAGTTATGTTTGATAATTGTTTATTCTTGTTTTCTATGATTTTTAATAATAATAAAAAGATTTACATTTTATTTGTGTTTGAAATATTTATGATGTATTTTATGAATCAAAGTAATGGTTTTATTTTATGTTTTTAAAGAAATGTGAAATAGAAACGAGAAGAAATGTTTCTTTGAGAAACAAGAAACATAGATAGTTACCAAACGCTATTATTGATGCTGGAAATTTGGCCTCCCCGGTTCTCACCAAATGTGCACTAAGCTCGATAATCACGGGACGGGATACCTGCAAAACCGAACAACTCTAATCCAGTCACACTAGTTCCGATGCTTAAGTTAGCTATGAGAGAATTACTAAGTGAAGTACTTGGGGTTTATTTGCTTATCCCTAGGGTTGTTCCATTTATAGGAGTCTTGCCTTATGGAACCTTCTCATTGAGTCTATCTATCTGTCGTCACTGGATCATAGGAATTCGTGGGGCACCTCTCCCAATGGGAGAGGAGAGAAAGTGGCCGAGCCCTGATCGGTGCCGAGCCTCGGCTCGATCGGTCTGTTGTTGGGTTTGGACCTCTCTGGTCTGTAGAGGTTCATTTCCTTGATCGGATACAATCCTATAGTAGCTATGTTTCTCAATAAGATAATACCAAACCAACGACCCTAAAAAACTAAATTCCTTAATTTTCCTCTTTTCTTCTTGCTTGGACTAACAGCATGTGAGTCTAGCTTTTTCCTGACATTACAATCAAACTTCTATTTAAAGTTTAGAAATAAAAACAA